GGGGGGGGGGCTCCCAGCATGCTCCCTGGCAGACTCAGAAGTGGACCAGAAGTACTCACGATCCACTTCTGGGTTAGCTGCTTCTCACGCTGGAGAGCCTCCCACGCTGCTGTGGGACGCTCCATGCACCCCAGCACTGCAGCGATCATGAGCTGCACCTGCTACCTCAAGGTATGTAGAAAAAATGTTTAAAGCTGTGCCTGTGTCCAAATCAAATCAGGGCCAGTGATCCGAATCAACAGATCAAATCACTGTCCCCGATTTGGGCCAAATCCGAATCGAGTAGGACCCATTTCACATACCCCATACCATTTGGCCACCAGGGGATGTCACAGTCACCTCTGGGGCCCTGTCCTGTCACAACCACCCCAAAGCTTTGTTTGTTTGCTTGCTTTACACAATTTACCAATATTTAGAGATGAGACTACCTAGTCATTGCTGTAGAGTATTAATTTTTAACTATGGGACAGATTTTCAATCCTTTCTGTTTGGTTGTCAAACACAGAGAAATGTAATCTCTCAATGCACCCACATAACTCCTAGGAATAAGTAAAGAAAGCAAAATGTCTCTCAGAGTGAAAATAGACCTTAGCACAACACTATTTTACATTTAGCATTTGTACAGTTTGTGGGGTTTGATTTTCTTTGAAGTTCTTCTGTTTGTAATTTTTGGCAGGCATTTGATAAATTCTGTGAAGCAGGGTCGGGGGTACTTCTACTTGCTTCACAAAGAATCACTGGAAAGGAAGAATGCGCTAAAAGCAGCAGAGGAGGAGCAACAGGCAAGATGGGCAACTGAATGCCAGCCACCTGGATATTCATCTGATGAGGAACACTCGGATGAAGAGAGAAATGAGTAAGTAGGCATTCTGGCATTTTGGTGACTTCAGGATCAATGTTTTCTTAAGGAGCAGTTTTATCGTTTAACCCATGGTCACTGTCATCAACATCTGGGAAGGTGATTATCCTTTAAAATATTAAATTATCCTCATATATGATCTTTGACAGTGTGCACACATGCACACACACACACACGCACTGGAATTTGAATGTCTAAAACTGGTATTTGGCCACTTGCATTCAGACATCAGTACAAAATAAGGACTTAGTAGCTTTAACAGGGGTGCCTGAGGTTGAATATTCCCTGCTGCCCCACGCTGTCCCACACCATGTGGGAGGCTCTGCACAAGCCCCCCAAAGCCCCGAGGCTGCTGCAGCAGCTGGTGAGTTTGTGGGGGTTTGGGGTTTTTTTTCTTAAAGGGCTAGAGCTGGGAGAGGCAGGGCAGCCATGGGGGGGCTAGGGGAGCGGGCAGGGGTCAGGGGAGCTAAGGGAGCAGACAGAGAATGGGGACTGGCAGGGCCTCCCATGGTCCCCTCCCCACTCCTCCAGCCTCCCCTCCCACACCCCCTACTTACCAGCTCCAAGTCCAGCTCCAGCTCCCTGCTGCATTAGGCAGGGACTGCCCAAATCGTCAAAGTTCTCCAAATCTTTTCCGAATCGATTTGGAGAGCTTCGAATTGATTCGGACCTTTTTATTGGTCCCCTGATTTGATCTGGATTCAGAGATTCAGCCACGGAATTGCCTCCAAATCGAATCAGCACCCAAAGCTTCGCACAGTCCTAGAAGAGAATCCTTCAGGGTTCAATTTGACTGTTCAACCTGTCCCAAGAATTGAGGATGACCAGCAATATGAAATTTTTGTTTAATTCCCAAGATTTTACAGAGTTCTTGTATAACCTTTCCTGTAAAATGAGAACCTTGATCTGAATCAGTTTGTTTGGGGAGTCCGCATTGGGAAAAGACTATATTAAACAATTGAACAGCAGTAACTTGTGCAGTCTCAGTTTTGGTTGGAATAGCTTCTGTCCATTTGTGAATGGATCACTAACAATGAGACAATACTTGTTTCTCCTAGCCATCATGGGTAAGGGCACAATATCATCCATTTGAATCCTAGCCCAGGGCCCCTCAATTCATTGATGCATGACAGGACCCTTTTGAATTTGGGAATCTGCATTTACCAAAGCACGTGGCAAACAGTTATTACACCAATTTTGCACTTCCTTACTGAGCCACCACACCATTTCTTTAATTTTGTTTAAGGTATTTTTGTATCCCAAATGACCTTGTTCATGTGCGCAAATTGAATTGAATTTGTTCTAACAGTTTTTGTCACTACCCACTTTCTTTCTGTTTTCCTTATGCTGCACCCAAATTACTCCCTCTTGTTCACATATTATACATTTTCCTCTTTTATCCTGCCCTAAATCCCTTAGGTTTTGAATCTCTTCATCCCCCTCCTGGATTGTTGCCAAATCAAGGGTTAAATTAGGTTCCTTTGCTCATGCCAGAATAATGATTACATTAACCTTTTCTTGTTAAGGCTATCTGCTTAGCCAAGCCATCAGCCCTATTGTTCCAACAGCTTTCTGGAGATTCCCCGCTTTGATGGCCTTTTGTATGAGTGATCCAGGTTTACCCAGTTCCTTGTTTTACAAAGTCATATATTTCCTGCCACCTGTGGCATGGGCGACCAGCAGTACAAAAATCCCCTGCTACCCAAATAGGCAGCTAGGTTACCATAGCTCTAGTAACCCAGTCAGAATCAGTAAAAATAGCTACTACATTTTACTCTAACCCTTCTTGTTGAAAAACCAGTGAAATGGCAGCTATTTTAGCTGCTTGTGCTGAATGAAGACGAATGGCTTCAGCAATGTCCTGGCCATTGTTTACTCAGACAGCTCCAAAACCTGGTTTCACTTTTCTCTTCTTATAGTGGCTCTACAAACTGCACTTTTGTTTTCCCTAAATCTACTTTTTGAAAAAGTCTGCCCTCTTCTACTCACCATTCAATATGTTGGTATTTTGGCAACAGACACTCGGGTCCTCTCCATTGACTATTAGGCCATAAAGAGTTGGGGCTAACCATTTGTCCTTTTGGAATGTAATGACTTTATTCATCAATGCCGCAGTCCACCGAGTCAACCTAAAACTTGAGACTGTCCCATCCTGAAGTTTTCCAGATGCGGCGTACTTCAGGGGCAAGTGAGTAGTCTGAACTACAGTCTGACTACTTCCAGTGATATACTCCCAATGTTCCATGATCCAAGTTAATGCTAGACATTTCTTCGCACAGAGGATGAAATTTTGCTTAGGACAACTTAAAGTCTTAGATGCATAAACAGTTACACTTAATGTTTCTTCTTGTTTTTGTAATAGAGTAGCCCCCATAGCTGCCTCTCTGGTAGCCAACTGAATAACAAAAGGAATTCCCATTTCAGGATACACCAAGGCAGGAGCTTTAGCCAAATTCTCCTTAAGGATGTTTAGGGCTTCTGCTTGTTCTGGGCCCCATTCCCACCGATGATTTTTCTTCAGTAATTTCCATAAAGGCCGTGACTTCTCAACAAACATCTTAATAAAGTCCTGAGAGAAATTTAGGTTACCCAAAAGAGCTCTTAACGAATGGGTATCAGTAGGGGCTGGCAGTTTTCCAATTTATTCTACCCGCTGTGCATCTGGAGTTTGCCCGTGTTGTCACAAAACAATTTCCAAATACTTTACTTCTGGTTGAACTAACTGGGCTTTTTGCCTGCTAACTTTAAAACCCATGTTTTGAATAATTTGTAATACCACCCCAGTGACTTCATGAATAAATTCCTGCATGGGCCCATGAATCAGGATGTCATCCCCATAAGAAATTACCGTGGGTTGGTATTGATCAGGTAATTGGTCCCACATGTGCATTACATGAGTGTAGCAAATGGCAGAAACATTATGGAAGCCTTGAAGCATGTGAGTAAAACAATACTGTTGTCCCTTAAAACTAAAAGCAAATTTATACCATGAATCTGGGTGTAAGGGAATTGCCAAGAATGTGTTATCTAAATCAATTACAGAAAACCAGGTCCCCACAGCAGCCCAATTAACAGGTCTTCCCCAAGGGTCAAAACATGACTTAGATATAAATTTAGGAGACCCCTGGGGACTGGGGCATCCCTATTGTTCTGTTGGGGCTGGACTGGAGCTACTGGCTGTGGTGCTACCCCAGAAGCCAATTACCTTGTTCTCTGGATTTCCACCCAACCTTTAAGCAATTCACTAGTGGGCCAACCATGCTATTTTTCTTGTGGTTCCCCTGCTGCCAGTAATCTTTTCCAAATTTCATTTTGAATGAGACACTCACCTTCCACCTTGTTGGGTGGAATAAAGGCCAATAACCATGTCATAGTTTCATAGTTTCATAGTTTTAGGGTCGGAAGGGACCTAATAGATCTTCTAGCCCGACCCCCCGCCAGGGCGGGAGAACAACCCAAAAACACAAACAAAACCACTCACCCTAAAAACAAAAACGGGACTCAAATGAGTCCAGCCAGGTAAGTATCCAGCCTCTTCTTAAAGATCCCCAGGGTAGGGGCCAGCACCACCTCCCTTGGAAGTTGGTTCCAGCTCCTAGCCGCCCTGACTGTGAAGTAGTTTTTTCGGATGTCCAATCTGTACCTCCTCTCCATCAACTTGTGCCCATTATTCCTTGTTATGCCAGCAGGGGCTAGGGGAAACAGCGTCTCCCCCAAACCCTTCTGGTTCCCCCTAGTGAGTTTATAGACGGTCACCAGGTCCCCCCTCAGCCTTCTCTTGTGGAGGCTGAATAGGTTCAAGTCCCGCAGTCTCTCACTGTAGGGTCTGCCCTGTTGTCCCCGGATCATGCGGGTGGCCCTCCTCTGGACCCTCTCCATGTTGTCCACATCCCTCCTGAAATGGGGCGCACAGAACTGGACACAATACTCCAGCTGCGGCCTGACCAGCGTCGCATAGAGGGGGAGGATCACCTCCCTGGCTCTACTCGAGATGCACCTGTGGATGCACGACAAGGTCCGGTTAGCCCTGCCAACCATGACCTCGCATTGTCGGCCCATGTTCATCTTGGAGTCAATAATGACACCAAGATCCCTTTCCGCCTCCGTGCTCTCAAGTAGGGAGTTCCCCATCGTATAAGTGTGCTGCTGGTTCCTACTACCCAAGTGCAGCACCCTGCACTTGTCCGTATTGAAACGCATCCTGTTCCTGTCTGCCCACCCCTGTAACCTATCCAGATCCTTCTGCAATCTCTCTCTCCCTGCTAGCGTGCTCACCTCCCCCCAAATTTTGGTGTCATCAGCGAATTTAAACAGGTTGCTCTCCACCCCAACATCAAGATCGCTGATGAAGACATTGAACAGCGCAGGGCCCAGGACCGAGCCCTGAGGGACTCCACTACCCACCTCCCCCCAAGTCGAATATGATCCATCCACCACCACCCTCTGAGTGCGACCCTTCAGCCAATCTGCAATCCATCTGACCGTGTAGGCATCTATGCCACAGTCGCCTAGTTTACTAATTAGGATGGGGTGAGAGACGGTGTCAAAGGCCTTGCTGAAGTCCAGAAAGACTACATCCACCGCGACACCTGCATCCATGGCCTTTGTGACCTGATCATAAAAGGCAATCAGGTTGGTCTGACATGATCTCCCCCTAATAAATCCATGCTGATTGCCCCTGAGCATCATCTCGGATGCCGGCCCATCACAAATGTGCTCCTTGATGATCTTCTCAAAGAGCTTCCCCAGGATTGAGGTAAGACTGACGGGCCTATAATTGCCCGGGTCCTCCCTTTTCCCTTTTTTGAAGATGGGGACCACATTAGCTACCTTCCAATCGTCTGGCACCTGGCCCAAGCACCACGATCGCTCGTAGAGCCGTGCCAGGGGCCCTGCAATAACCCCAGCCAGCTCCCTCAGCACCCTGGGGTGGAGAGCATCCGGACCCGCTGACTTGAACGCGTCCAGCCCCTCCAGAAGCTCTCTAACCCGGTCCT